GGGAGGCAACGTCACGCTTTCGTCGGCAACACGCAGCGCAGGTCTACGACAGCTATCAGCGCCTCGATCGGTTGCAAGTTGCGTCGAGAAAGTCACCATTCGCTCGCGGAGATTTATGATCGCGCCATTCTCTCGAAGGAAGTCCATTCCAAGGATGAGCTGACGAGAACAGTCGCGTAGTACGAGGCAGGTTACCACAAACGTTGACTCGCGTATTTCCACTCTTGCGGTACAGCGACCCAATGGAGTAATAACGTGGCCTCCAGCAGTGCGAATACGCGTCCCATTCCAAGGTGTCATCACTTTCTTAAGACTGGTTGCCAATTTTCCGCTCATAATAGAATAATCTGCACCTGTGTCCACCAATGCGCTGACCTGAAGACCGTCTATCAGCACGGGAATGTCGAGTGAGACTCGGCCACTGGGTTCAGACGCACAATCCGGCATTTCTCTCGCACTGCACTCAGACGTCAATTCAATGTCTGCAGCGTTTTGTGGAAGCGTCGATAGGAGGTCTTCCGCACTTTTAGTCCCAGCGACCTCGCCCCCAAAGGTCGCTGCCTTCAGTTTTCCCGACGAGGGCTTGGGGAACGTCCCCGTGCCATCGTACTGAGACGTGGTCCAATAGCTGCGGGTCGTCGTGGAGATGGAGACCGCGATTGACGCCGTGGGAAAGGCAGACGTTGCTGCGCGAGGTAGTCCTCAATTTCTCTTGGCCTCTGACCAACTAGGGGACGAGGCGAATGAATAGAGAAACCGCGCAGTCCAAGTTGTCGGTATGGACATTCCCGGTAGATGTGACCGGCTTCACCGCAATGGAAGCAGAGGGGTCTTCTATCCGACGTACGCCAAATATCGGACTTCCGCGGAGGGGCACGGCGACCGTCGATGTCCAAACCAGCATGCGCAGATTGAATTGAAACTGGCGGCATCGTCTGGATTGGGACTGCAGGGCTTGAGACCGGCATGGAAGTGCGCAGAGCTTCGGCATATGTGCGGTTCCCAACATCAGTGGACGCAGGAGGTGGTTCTAGATTTGTAACCGTTGGTTGAGGGCGACGGCTGTGAAGCACCTGCTGGACCTCGTCCCGAATAATATTGGTGATGCTGCTTACCTCCGGCTGTCTCGCCCCGTGTAGTTTCGCGATTTCCTCGCGGACGACGGAGCGGACGATTTCGCGAATCCACTCAATGCTGTTGCTCCCGAAGCTGGCGGAAAATTCAGTAGGTGATGCAGAATTCACTTGCCGGTTGAGTAGGGCTGACCGCTGATGAAGTACCCTCTCCATCGTAGTGGCTTCGGTCAGGAATTCTGCTACACTCTTCGGAGGACTCCGCACTAGACCAGCAAAAAGCTGCTCCTTCACGCCTCGCATCAGATAGCGTAGCTTTTTTTCTTCTGGCATTGCCGGATCCGCTCGCCTGAAAAGCTGCGTCATGTCCTCCACGTACATGGTGACGGTCTCATTAGGCATCTGGATGCGTGAATGCAATGCACGTTCAGCACGATCGCGGCGGTCGGGGCTCCGGTAGGTCTCCAAGAGGCGATGCTGGAACTCGCGCCAGGATGTCAAGACATCACTTCTGTTCATGAACCACGTTCGGGCGCCGTCTTTCAAACACGCGTAGACGTTGCGGAGTTTGGCGGCTTCGTCCCAGTAGTTGATCGCTGCGACGTGTTCGAACTCGCTCAGCCAGTCGTCCACATCCTCAAACGGCTCTCCGTGAAAGGGACTAGGCATCAGCGGGTTCTGGACAGTGCAATAAATTGGTGCCGACGACGTAGGAGTTTCCATGACGCCTTGAGGCGAAGTCATAGTCGCTCTATGGATAAGCTGTGCCGGTGTCTCTGGTGGTAGGCCTCGTTGGCGGCGGCTTGTTCTGTGAACTGGCGTGTCCACGGGCACAGGGCTTGTGTTCCGGCTCCTGGATGGGCTCTTGTGCATGGGGTGCGTCGTCAGTTGTCGTACCCAGCAGCTCCACCAATCTTGTCACCAATCTTGTCTCACTCAAGGAAACCTTCCGCAGAACTGCTCGTCAAGCTAGGACAAAAAGAAAAAACTGCTCCAACCCAACCTCTTCGTCCTCTTCCACACCAAAACCACGCGAATTCATGCGGCATTAAAAAGCGGCTCAATCCCAACCTCTTCGTCCTCTTCCACACGAAAACCACGCGAATTCATGCGGCAATATATATATATATATATATATATATATATATATATATATATATAAATATATATATATATATATATATATATATATATATATATATATATATATATATATATATATATATAAAGTAGAGAGCCGCCGAACACTGAAATAGGTTGAACTCTCAAGTGCTTTCTAGTGGGTCTACCCAAAAAAGGACGCCACTCGTGCTGAGGGCCCGTGCTTGGCCGTTACTGTCGCCATTGTGTATGCTCGCTGTGAGTCGGCTAATAAACGCCTCAACAAAATATATAAGTGAGCCGAACTAGAGGAAAAGTTTATTACACACACACACACATAGATAGATAGATAGATAGATAGATAGATAGATAGATAGATAGATAGATAGATAGATAGATAGATAGATAGATAGATAGATAGATAGATAGATAGATAGATAGATAGATAGATAGATAGATAGATAGATAGATAGATAGATAGATAGATAGATAGATAGATAGATAGATAGATAGATAGATAGATAGATAGATAGATAGATAGATAGATAGATAGATAGATAGATAGATAGATAGATAGATAGATAGATGAGCCGAACTAGAGGATAAGGTTATTACTCGATTCGTGCCGCATACAGAGGACAGCCCTTAACGTCAACCGCTCTCGAAACCTTCCCCCAGTGTATACACACGGACTGTGCTCCACGGCAAACAGAGAAAGAGGGGGGTCATTAGCCACCTCGCGAGTGCTTTGAAGACAGCCGCTGCTACGTAGCTCCGCAGTGACCACTGAGGGAGGAACCAAGTCGGTTTTGAAACGTCGGGTTTTTTCAAAACTTTTGGTTGGAGTCTAAATCATCTCCCAGTTTCATACCCAACCAGAGAGACTTCTGTCGAATGTTTACATTCAAGCACTGTAGATGAAGAAAGCGCTGGGAGAAACACCTGTGTCACCAATAGGTAGTGCCATAGGCGGTGTGGTGGGCGGAAAGGGAGCTCCCACGGGCAAAGAGATATCGGGCGGCCTTGCTCTAACACATACCTGTGCCTGAGGACTTCGATTCCTTTCAAGAAAGTTTTTTTGTGACAAAGTCAATAATGAGGTCTTGTGCACTTCATTAGTGGCTGTTTCTACAAATTTATACACCATCGTAAAATCTTTGGCAGGCCAATGGATCTTCTTCATTTAGTACAGTTCAGTGCAGAGCGTTTTCTCAATTCTCAGGAGGCAATATATTTTTGTGCATTTGAAGCATGTTAACGAGTGGAATTTAGTGAATGAATACATTAGAGCTGGTATTTTTTTTATGCATGGCAGGCAAATAACTCATGCCCGTCCAATGCTTTGTGCCAGAGTTATCAATAGCGGATGCTAGTTATCGCATTAAATTTTTGACGCTGTATTGTCAGTCTTTTAAACAAAAGAGGAGAAATAAGAATAAAACTTGTACTATGTGGAACTAGCTGAAACATGTACTGTTTGAGCAACATCTGAATTCCTCATATTCGTAGAAAATAGGGCTCACTAAATTCTACGTAGCGTACGAGGCTCTCTTACCTTGATGTTGGTCTTCGCTCGGGTACGTGGTGAGCCAGGAAACTATAGTGAATAATTACGACCAATGAGATGGTTTCATGTTTGGCAATATAATCCTAATTACTGCAGTCGATCGTGGTTACCTTGTCACCGGGACTTGCCATGTTCCGGGTGACCTTGGGGCGTGTTATCCTTGCTCCACCTATGTCGCTTGTGGCAGAACGGGGTTGTGGGGACGGTGGCCTATACAGCAAAGCAACGAGGGTTCAACTGTACGGTAGATTGCTTTCGACGCCTACAAGCGTTGATATAGTGTCACCGGTTTTACCTTTTTGGCCAGGTTCAATGGCGTCAGCGTGGTCGGGGGCCTCAATAAATCTCCTTGAAATATCTCGCCGATTGTGCCTTTTTCTTTCCTATGACCGGGCGTCAGCACGGGTAAAAAAATGGCTTCTTCTTCTTGTTTTTGTTGATCTGTTGCTCGTGGCGCCTACCCACTGTGGGGGGTTGGCCAAGTATTGAGTGGTTTCATATAATGATGCGCAGTTTTAAAATAGCGGAGTTTATATATTAGTAATAATACAGATAGCCTAAGAAATTGTGGTGTTTGATCTGATGCCTATAATTATGTAAAGAAAAAGATTCATTCTTAACTTTGGCCACTAATTTGATATTTTATACGTATATATTGTTGTAGACACATTAGGAGAATAAAACATAGATATTAATCAACTGATGAGTTTCATTATTACAGTGCCTGAGAGCCGTGCTATTCTCGCACTGGAGAACCCAGAAATGGAAGCTCCAAAGGGCAAAAGGACAGGCAGATAAATCCATACCACTACGACGTAAAGGTATTTAAATAAGTGTTTTTCGCATTGTAGTAAACCACCTGCAGATTATAAATGAATGACGTAATGTTTCCAGTTCACCACGGAACGCGCACAGTGGCGAAGGTGCCTGAGGAGACCTGTGTTAGTAGAAATATAGATTCTGTACCTCGCAGCGCAGCTTGTTTCTCCCGGCTTCTTCTTCTTTTTGAATGCGCGCCATTTACAAGCGATTCTTTTGTGGCATTGCAACGCTGAATAGCTGGTATGCACATCAATTATGACTGGTCGCAAAAATATATCTTGCATGAAAATTATCCGCTTTTAATATGTGGTCCACACTTGTACTGAGCGACTTCACAGTGATGAAATGTGTAGGTCAGTTATTTTCGTGATAACATTAGTTGTTTTCAGCACCACCCCGGTTCCTTATCCCTATACCAAAACGGCAGACGAAATGTGGACGTATTGATGCGAAACTTTATTGGTAGTCCTGAGGTGCACTGCTCAGTGCGCAGCAGGCTGCTCTCGCCTTGGGACAGCCAGGTCAAGCCCGACTGTCGCATTGTGGGCCCCTTGGACGCGTTCCACAATTGAGCCCAGGCATCCGGGGCTTCCGATAGCGGATAGTCACTTGACTTTGTTGATTTGGTGTGATTGTTTTAGTTGGCATTTCCCTCCATATTACCTGCTGTATGACGGAACGTTGTGTCTGTTAGGCACTCGGTAGTTTTGCCTGAAAAAAAGAAAGGTAGGACGGCCAGTAAATACGCGAAAGCCTTGACGCCAGTTTAGTGAGCAGACTCAAGCAGCTTCGCTCTAGTGGGGCCAAGCATGAAAAAAAGCGCTGAGGTGGGTCACCTGCTTTATTTTTTCTTTCAATTTTGTTCTTTGCTTGCTTATTCCTCTTCTTTGCCTTTATGTAGTTTCTTCTCCTATTTAAAATATTTTCTTTCTTTCTCTTTATTCATATATCTCTCTCGCTGCTTCTGGTCTTCTTCTTTCTTTCTTTTCATCTATTTCTTTCTGTCTGTTGCTTTTATGCTCTCGCTTTCTTTCTATACCACGCTTCGATCTCTCCTTTAATTATGTCTCTCCTCCTCACCCTAGCATGTCTCCTCTGCACCCTCACTTTCCTTTCTGACCCCTTTGCAGTAGTATACAACGCGAACCTATTTCGTGCTTACTTGCCTCGTTAAACGATGGGAACTCACCACACTCGCCTGCGGATCGCGCGTGCTGGGCTTCGACTCTTGTTTTGGAAAGAAACTTATCTTGCCTGAAATTTTTCACTTTCTACTTCTTTCTATCTCTTCCTTTTTCCCCATTTGATTATACTTCTCGCACGTTTTCGTGCTTGATCTCTAAGCCACCACATGTATTTCAACTCTAGACAGACAAACAGGTCAACGTGTTCTGGAAGCAATACAGAGGGAGGAGAGGGCGCCTGCTTTCTCTGCACACGCCCTATTAAAGACAGCAATTGTGCTTTCGGCTCTATGTGCAGAAAGATGACCTTGCTGTAAGTAGCTTGGCAAAATCGTCATCGTGCGTGGCAGAGAGAGCATCTATAGAGCGCACGAAGTTGTCACTGCCTCAAGCACTCTCTGAACATACCCAGACCGGTCTTCACTCAATTTCGATGTGCCGGTGCCATTGCCGTTTCATTATTGAGCACATGGCTGGTGCTGCACAGCATCTAACACGAGTAAAGAGCGGTGCTTGAATCAGATACACTGCTCTACATGGCGAGACACCAAGAGATGAAGCCTTTAGTGAGCGAAAATTGCACAGTGCAACAGTTGTATGGAATCTCACCGGGAGATGGTGCTCGAGTCCGTGACGCGTGCTGAAGTAGATTCTCGTCTTCACGCCGTCCCTACTTTTGTAGGTTCAAACAGGATAATCGCGAAGAAAAGAGAAAAGACGCGCTAAATAAAGCACGCAACAAATTGTTGCCACTCCACTCATACTTCTCAGATTCAAAAAATTTTTGTATAAGTCGACCCCTATTTATTGATTACGTCATTTAACAGAAATCTGGTTCTATAAAACAAATCAACAACATATAGACAGTATTTTCTTGTGACGAACAATTCATAGTTGAAGGGTCATCTCTTTCGCACCAGCCTTTCACCTCGCTTGAGTCGCAGAGTTTGTTCGCCAAAAATCAATTTTTTTCAGAATCTCCGTTAAAAACAGCCCAAGTAAAAAAAGCAAGTTCATGACACAATGATGAGGCAAGCTCAGGATGATTTAAAACTTTTTACGTTATTAGCACGTAGAAGCAAGATGCATTTTTTCCCTGCGTCATCTCAATGCTACCGGTATTTCACGTCATAAATCTTGAGCGCGCTATTAAATCAAATAGAAATGTTGTGAACAGAAATTATGCACTCCAAGTTTTCAAGAAAGCAAACGCAAATACGCTTGACGACAAGGAAGACTCACCGAATGTGCATTCTATAGTAAGAGTGCATGTTTACAAGTTTACGAACACGTTTTGTGTGTGTCGCTGCGGTGAAATCGGTGTGCAACTTCAAACTTGGCGCACGAAGATAGTAATTTAAATACCATTATTGCGCACACGAAGCGCACACGAAGTGCCTGTAGGGTTCTTCTGAACACGTTGCTCAATTTACTCTACGATCTCGCTTTTCTTCGAATTCTTCTCCAGCCCAGCTGCGGTGGTCAAGTGGCTAAGGTACTCGGTTACTGGCCCTCAGGTTGCGGGACCGAATCTTGGCGGTGGCGGCTGCATTTTTGATGGAGGCGAAAATGCTGCTGCGCACATTTGGGTGGACGTTAAAGAACTCCAGGTGGTCAAATTCCCGGAGCCCTCCACTACGGCGTCTCTCATTATCATGCGGTGAGTGTGGGATATTAAACCCCACATATCTACATAAATTCTTCTCCACCGTAAAGGAAGAACCACTGAAGCGAACGCTACAATACAACATCGATATATTTCATGATCTGAAAGAAATTTTATAGTGGGGCCATTGACAGGTTAAAGTATTCGTGATGCCACATCGTTTCAGTTCATGCACAAACAACCAAGCACTGAAATTCCACACAATACGAACGGTCGTATACGAGTTACTTCAGCCTTATATATACTTTGGCAGCATGGTTGGTCTGAACTTACAATGATATTTAACGCATAACTTCACCAAAAGGCAGAAGAGAGGACAGAGCACTTCGCCATGTCTCCTGTCTTGTAGTGCCGTCTTGCGCTAAAAAGTAGTACCATGGCTAACTGCATCTCGGTGCCAAGAAGCAATAACATTTCGTCAATTATTATTGATGTCAACACATCCGTATGGAGCGATGTTGTCCGCATATACGTCGCTCTATGCATATACATCACTGAACCAATGATTTCCATGATTTTCAAGATGTTACTAATGTTTGCATGGTAGGCGAAGCAGTAAAAGCTATTTTTCTTCAGCGCAATGTTTGTGAATCTCCTACTATCTGGTTTACAGCTTTGTCTATCCAGTGGTATCGCTTTTTGTTGCGTCTATTTCTTGCTTCTTCAATGGTAGTTGCAGAGTTAAACTGTATAGATGTAATTAAGTTATATTGAAATAGTTACTTTTACCTTCGCATTTCGTTTACCTTCGCATTTCGTTTCTGCACTCAAAAGTTTTCTTCTTTTGCGAACTCTGTATTCTGCACTCAATGTACTTCGCAATATTTCATCTAATATTTCACTATTTTTAACGTATCACATTGTATAACTCCCCCATCTCTGACTATGCAGCTGCAATTCATGGTTTATTAGCGAAACAACATGGACAATAGTTTTCTAGCTGGGATACATGCATGCTTACTTGAACGTGCAACGCAATCACAGGATCCTCCCAAGAATGGTCCACGGTAATGTTGAGCTTGCCGTCAGGTCCCACAACGAATGACCTTCCTGTGCAGCCCAATGAGGTCATAATACCAGATATGACGTCGCAGTATCTTCCCGGGGGCAAAGACGTTTGAAGAACTGCATCCGAGCGGAAGTCCTCGTTGTTTAGAGCGACGAAAGTAGGATTTCCGCGACCGAACGCGATTGCATGATAGCCGTTGTCCCACCAGTTAGTGACAGACGAGAAGCCTGCCACGTTGTGCAGCTCGACGAGGTTGTAGATCTGTCTCCACCTGGATCATAATGGAATCGCAAATAAGTACACAATATACAAGCACTACGCATTTCATATAGTGATGGCAAAAATTTATTTCGTCAGATGGCAGCCGAGGATGTTTCCGTGTTAGATATGGCCATCTCCGTCTTAGATATGGCCAAGCTTAGTCCACATTTTCCTGTTTGGGGTGGCGTCATCGCATACGTTGTCGTCGACAATTGCGCCGGCCTTTTCCAGTATCAATATCACTTGCAGTATATGACCCACTATAGTTCCCATTGTCGCTCCCCTTCAGGTGAACACCTTGATAAGTTGTACATAATTTTCTCCGACAAGACAAAACATAAACACAAGTCTATGGTTGGGCAATCTGGATTGATTGATTGATTGATATGTGGGGTTTAAGGTCCCAAAACCCCCATATGATTATGAGAGACGCCGTTGTGGAGGGCTCCGGAAATTTCGACCACCTGGGGTTCTCTAACATGCACCCAAATCTCAGCACACGGGCCTACAACATTTCAACCTCCATCAGAAATGCAGCCGCCGCAGCCGGGTTTTGAACCCGCGACCTGCGGGTCAGCAGCCGAGTATCTTAGCCACTAGACCACCGCGGCAGGGCAGGGAGGGGGGGGGGGCAATCTGGATATCTCGACACCACGTTCATCGCAGTAAACAAGGCCGGTGTAAGCTTTTCCGACTCAGCACATTTACTTTCCCTCCTCTGTACCTCGTCGATGAAAGGTAGGCAATGCCTTTGGAACTAAGAGTTCAAAAGTAATTTCTTCTATTTCAGTGCTACAACGATTTCCGAATCGACACTGACTTTAATCTTTGCAGTCCCAATGTATTTCTTTACCGTTCTTACACAGGAATAATTTAGTATGCAACTTTCCCGAAGAAGTTTGTAGGTTAACGGTAAACGAATTGTAAGAGAAGACACAGTAGCAGCCGACTGTATGTGTAGCGCCTTTCCTATTTTGATGTTGCTTTCGCGGCCGCTATACACTTCGTTAGGAGCATACTGGGTGTTTCTGGCAGCAGCGCTTTGTTCACCAGCTCATCTACTCCACTATCATTTAATTCTCTCACTTGCTATTTCTTTTCAGTAGTTCTTTAACAAAAAACGTTCTTGTTTCCTGCATTCTTAACATTTGAGCGATAACAGGCGCTGGGTTGCATTCACAATGCCTCAAAATTCGGCCTATTTGATGGAATCACCAAATGTAGTGTGCGCATCGCTTTCTCTCATTTTGCCTTCCACGCTTCGTGAACTCCCAGCATGTTGTCTAATTATTTGTAGGAACTGCATTGCGTTTTGCCTGCGTTAAACAGTACAGAACAATTCTACTGGCGCTAGCGCATAGATGAACTTGGTAGCGTGAACGCAAGCAGATCACGTTCATGAAGCTTTTCGTTTTCCATGTTGGTGCAAAATCATTGTGCCGGCATGATTACGAGTGCATAATACTTTATACAGTCCTCAAGAAGGCAACCTACTTCCAATCCGCATCCTATGCATTAAGTAAAAGAAAGATGATTTAAGATCTTGATAACTGTTTTGTTGGCAACCTTTTCTACTACGTCGTTTCTATATGCATAGCTTGCACAAGATTTTAGTGCGTTATTAAAGAAAAGTTCAACAACGTAGCATTTTGACGCACAGAGTGCACTGAAATAAATATCCCAGCATGGAGAAATCGGGTACTAGTCCTGTATATTTAACATTGGCTCCGCGTGACAATCAATCTTCAACAAACGCATGCAGCCTAGATATTAAATAATTCCACTGTTTTCTTGGCTGCAGCTGAAGTTGAAGAGAACACCATTTGTCCCATACGCACTCAGAACATCGATTTGGTAAGTACTACTAAAGAGAATAATGCGTGCACAACATAAAGGCACAAGTTTGACTGGGCTGATATACGTACCGGGATTCTACGAACCCGGCTCCAACAAATGACGTGTGCAAAGGTGTCATCGTGAGACTGAGAGTGAGGAGGAGGAGGAAAGAAGGTGGTACGGCGTTGCATAGTGTTTGTATACTTTAGCGATAGGTGCAAAAAGGGAACTTTGGGTGAGTTATGACGTAAAGGAGAAGGAAAAAAAGAGGAGGAGAAAGTGTAGCTTATAAAATAGCATTATAGAATAGCATCTACAAAGAAATAGGAAAGTCTTTTTGTATACAAATGAAAGTACTTCCGCGCAGACAGTGCTTAGAGGAAGCTTGTTATTCAGACGAGTGTGTCCTCTTACCTCTTGAAAAGAGAAGTAAAGAAATAACCAAAATGAAATGTAACACAAGCGGTGAAGACAAACAAGCTGAAGGCTGAACGGAGTAGATAGAAGTTGCCCCTTACCCTTAAAACCTTACACGTCGACTGACAAACGTTGCGTCAGCGTATGAGTGCATTTCGTACATTCAGCAAAAAATGAAATGGCAGAGATTTATCCGGCAATGCACACTGGCCGAAAAGAACGGCAGAGAAGAAAGGAAAAGTTAAGGCAACTTCGCACCAGTATAACAAAGCTTGGGACAAGTGTGGAGCTGGGGAGCTATGCAGGATGGGCCAAGCTTCTTGGGCAGGCAAGTTTGCTTTGAGCTCGCCCTTCGGCAGCCATGGCATGAAGACATTACGTGACAGCAGCGTTGATAAAAATGGATATAGAGCTGTTAAGAAAAGGACGAGTCGTCGCCACCCTGGTAAAGCCCACCATCGACCTCTTCCTTATTAGAACTCTTTGATCGCAAGCCCCGATTATGATAGCTTGCTCTTCGTCGTTTACACTATATTCAACGACCTCCGCGCACCAACAGTGACAACTGACGACGGAGAAAACTAATACACAAGAGTTCTGAGCACACACTCTTTGTTTATGATTAAAAGTTCCTTGTGAGTCCTTGTTGAATTATCCGGGTTTCTTCTTGTGCCTGGCCGTCCAGTGATGTTTACGACTCTTGTTCCGCATTTGCGCCTTTGAACGCATTACCTATGATGAATTTGTGATCTACATAATCGGTTTCAGTTCGCATGAACAACGATGATGTTGACTATTCCACAATCCCGTATTGTAGCCTCCGTTTAGCAGTTGTCTTAACTTCTTTTTTTTTGGTTTCGTTTGCCTCAAAGCACCAGCCTCTTCTATCTGTCTTCGTCTGGTCTCTGATTTGCGGCTGTGGTTGGGCATTCCTCGCCTAAATAATATGTCATCCGCATTGCCTCAACCTTCACGTCTGCATTTTCTAGAAGATAATTTCGAGAAGTACAGCCTCGGCCATGTCTGCGTAGAACACGCGAGCAGCCGCTATTTGCTCTACGGGGCCAAACCTTGAGGCAGTAGCGGGCTCCGACGTAGTCAGTCTGACAACTACGCAGCGCATGCTTCTGATACAGCACTTTAGAGCCCGAAACTGCCTCCAGGTTTCGCACCGCAAAGCTAAAACCGGCTCCTTGCGTGCTCTACACAGACTTGGCTGCAGCTGTACAAGGTGCTTCCTTCTGTGTCCTCATGGTGTTCCTCCTGTTTCTTTTCACTCTATGAAGTGGCCTTAATTATTTTTTTGTCGGGCACGTCCACGCACGGCAGTGTGGGCGGTATAACAACTGAGTTTGACAACGTCGTCTTGTACGCACCCTTATTATCTCATGAATGGCCTTTTGGACTCACAAAGCCTTCCCGCTTTTCGGTCAGAGGAATGCCTACACCCGCGAGCACCGGAGTCGTTGCAGATGTCTTGTCATAAGCTTTAAGAGTACTGCATGTTGACGAGAATTCTGAAGTCGTGGAAAGTGTCTTTGGACTTTGAGGTTGCCACTCGGTGTTGATCTTCGATAAGGAATTCAGTCTCTGCTTCCAGATTGTCGCTCTATTTCTCCTGAGGTGGACTCATCTAGCGCGTGGGCGATAAAATCGCTATTCGGTGCGTAATAGCTGCATGGCGGGGACTCCGACGGAGAGAGCTAGTACTTTTTGTGCTTCTGTTCTCATGCGTTGTTTCATTAAAGGCGAAGCATTTCTTGGTTTATTTTGACGACGTATCTATCTATCTATCTATCTATCTATCTATCTATCTATCTATCTATCTATCTATCTATCTATCTAGCCTTCTACGACTTTCAGCTCTCTTAGCCGCTTCAATGATTGTATCGATACCAAACTTGGCATGCAATAACATGAATGTATATCGTGTATAAGTAACTACTCATACCATGAAAGTCATGAGATAAATGTCGTGGATGTCATGATTTTCATTTCAATGTCTTGCTGCTCTTGCGCTTGTTTCGTTCACATGACATGTTGCAGAACTGGTATGGTATGGCATCACTGCATGGCTAACAAGTGGCAGGCCCTAACGTGGAAATCATGGCATGCCTGTCATGTAATACCATATTAATCATGAATACGCTATACGCTCATGGTGTGATAACGGTCGTTTCGCTTGCTTCACATATACCATATTCGGTATTACGCCACGTACATGAATGACAAAGGTATGCGACTGGTGCAGACATGATAATCATGAGATGCGTGTCATAAAAGAACATGACTACTTGCCACACTCAAGGTGCCAATACACTTCGATGTGATCCGTGTTCGTTTCGGGGCGTCATGCTGGCAATGCCACGCCAGGCGCCGTGTGCGCCGCGCTGCGTTGCTTTGGCGCATGCAGGTTTAGGCGCCCGGTTTCTCTCTGTCAAGAAGAGAGGCCGCCGCAGTGCTGTCTGGATAACGTCATCGGCGAGAAACGCAGCATGTCGCATTTGACGCCGGTTGACGCTGTTCCGCGTCGACGGACGCTGGTCGCGCCTGGCTTCAGACTACGTAGTGCTCGCGTTTTGCTAGCGTAGCGTCACTGCACCCGTGGGCTCGTGTCAACGTTACATCTGAGAATATTGGGCCCTTCATGATGCGCTGGCGGCCGTTTCACTAACTTAACATATATCAAATTTTGTGTTACGTTACGTCAATGGATGACGAAAGTGTAGAACAGGTCCAAACTTGATAATCATGATATGCGGGTCATGTAAAACGTAACTACATGCTACGCTAATAGGGCGGTCGCGGCCATTTTGCTAGCTCAACATATATAAAAGTTTGTATTACGTGACGTAAATAGAGGACGAAGGTAAGTGGCATTTCCAAACAGGGTCATCACGACATTTTTGTCATGCAAATCTTGACTACATGCTACGCTAATAGGGCGGTCGCGGCCGTTTTGCTAGCTCAGCATATATAAACGTTTGTATTACGTGACGTAAATAGAGGACGAAGGTAAGTGGCGTTTCCAAACATGGTCATCACGACATTCGTGTCATGCAAATTTTGACTACATGCTACGCTCATAGCACGCTTCTGGACGTTTCACTAGCTCAACATATACCGAATTTGCTATCAGGTGACATGAATAGATGACAAAAATAATTGGCACGCCCAAACATGATAACCATAACGTGGAAGTAATGCATGGCATAATTTACATCCGCCTTGTAAGTTTGTGCTGATTTTTAAGTGACATAACAATCTTTCTATTCGTTCTTCGCATATCATCGATTCGCACTGCACGTGAGATCTGCAAACTTTGTTTGCACGTGAGCTTGTGAAGCTTTCAATGCATCTTCGATCCTATATTCCACTCTCGCCCTTGCTAGAATGGTTTTATGCTCATAAACCTCGGCTTGCTTTATCTCTGCTTCTAAATGATCGATGTACAGCGTGTTTTCAATCTTCTTAACAATTCCTCTGCGAAGCTCGTGCAGTCCGGACAAAATTCGGCCGATATTCTAAAACCCACATATTGGTGGAAACGTGAGAAATCACTGGCTTGCCACCTCACGAGGCGAAGTCGGAGTCAACGCACACAACAGCAACGAAGATCTGCTCAACGAAGATACGGGCATCGTCAAGTTTTCATCCCCCGCCATATAGGTCGCTGGTACGACTAGGCGTCGCTCATCAGCTTTACCCACGGTGGTTTCACAAAAGTACACTAGGCTACGCATGCAGCCAAAGTATGTGAAGTTAATTCCGTCTCACATCCAACGGTCATTTCTTCCGGGCCTCACGGCACCAAAAATGTTGAAGAAAGGACAAGCCCCCATCCCCATGGTGAAGCCCATCTTCAACCTCTTGTTCTGATCTCAACCACCAACGATGATAGCGTCGCTCGTCGTCGTTTAGACAATATTGAACAGACATAATATGGACAGCATGTAAACTGAAATCGTCCTTTCTATTGGTATGTCAAAAGGCAAAAGAACTCGCACTTCCGCTTTGGTGTAGGCTGTGCTTTATCACAGCTATATAGGGTCACGGGCTCGTGACACTTAACGAACGCGGCAGTCGATGTTTTCAAGACGAGTTTGTGTTTAATTTAACCTGTGCCCTGAAAACAAAAGGTGACTCTGCAGACAATACGTGTTGTAGACTGTTAGCGGTGAACAAAGCGTTGGATGTCGACAATATGATCATCACTGGGACGCGTCGTCTTTGATACATCACGCTCCGAGCTTTCCAAGCTTATCCCTGGTGGTCACGCAAGCTGGAATAAGCTTGCAATCTGTGCAAAATTGTAACAATCAGGAGCTTAGTTAAAAAAAAATTAGGAAGAGGGTGGGTGGGGGCACCTTTAGGCTTTTGGCAGGGGCACCCCCTTGAAAGGGTCCTGTTTCGCTCTTTATACCACGGTAAAAAATATTTCGCAGGGTTGGTTGGGTGGGGCACAAGTTTGTACGCTGCCCTTTGGCTACGCACAAGACTGCAATCGCGAAGCTTCTTGAAGGCCAACTCCAGCGATTTTTTATGTTAGGGGATCTAAATGAAATTATCTGGGTACGTTACTTTCCACAGTTTCGTCATTTCAGTCGAATTACATGCTTCAGATATACGCTGATTGTTCGCAATGAATTTTCAAGATAGCCTCGAAACACTCACCTTCCTTGCCAGAAATATTGGCAACACTGTCTGTGTGACGTCATGTTTGGCATCGTGACTAGGTCAACGGAAGTGACCCAGTCAATAGCATCGCTAATTTTGGCCGCTACAGCGTTATTATACATTCACTGTGTTTACAAGGTGACGGGGGCGGCGTTTGGCACGGAAGAGCTTCCTTCCTTCCTTTGTGGTGTTTGCCCGCTCGGCTCGGCACGCTCGCCTTTGAATCACTGCCTGCTTTTCCCGCTTTTCACTATCTTCATATTTCGCGCCGTCGGGACAACTATATGATCACCGGTTCTTACCAAATAGTACGCCATACGTAGCAATTCACTCGGTGACGTTTTGATTTTGGTATTGCGCATTTTAGCTTTTTAAAATTATTTTCGAGTTTGCTGAGCACTTCGGCTATCGGGCTCGTGACAAAAGTGCCTCAGGAAGAAAGAAACACCATAACCCTGACATGGTCGAAAAATCGCCGGAGTTGGCCTTCAAACAGTGCACCATGCTCTAGACCTAGCATGGCTAACAGTCTTTGCATGTCGAAACTCGCGGCAATACAAGCATTACCTGTGCTCACATATCCATCCACCTCCACAGGTGTTGTCACTGTGTCGAACTACGTGTCGTATATTCCATGCAGCATCGGACAGTGGTCCAAACCAGGCATTCTGGTCAACACCACGGCGGAAGTCGCGAGGCCAGTGGCAGCTGCTCATAACGCCAGGCAGTCCGTACGGCCACGCTAGCATGAAAGCGATGGCCATGTTTTACAGTTGGGGTTCGAAGAACGTCAATAGATCCGCGCCGCTAGCTCCGTGACCCCGCTGGTTATCATGGTTGTCCACGAAAGTGAGAGCGTCTCCACTCGGAAGGAAGCCCCAACCCTCGCCAAAGTTTCTAAGGTACTTGAGGAGCTGGTTTGGTCTTTTCCTGGGCACGTCTCTTTCAAAAAAGCGAAAAAAAGTGTGTTACAATCACCTATATGTTACTAGTATATTTTGAAGGTATTTCACCACTTAGGTCGCAACTTCTGCACAATGAATTTATATTTGACTAGGATATGTACTTTGCTTTACATAAAACACATTACAAATCGTGAGACAATAGGAGCGTGCAGAAGTTTTAGCGTCATATGGAGAAGTAAAACAATTTCACTCATAAATAGAAGTAAGTCAAAGGTTGGAAGCACTTTTAAGTACACATGGTTCTCCTCTGATCATCATGACATTGAGCACAATGCACTAAACACTGAGCAACCCCCCCCCCTCTGCTTTTTTTTCGGTGTGCGGTATATAGTGCAACTGCTGTATAATTTAGGCATAATATAGAGCACAGTGCCCGTATGTGAATGCATCCTGCGGCCGGTGGTGCCTCATACGAACGTCGCCGTTGGTTTACGGGAGCTATCGGCCAACAGCAACATACCATGCCGCAGCCGCTGTAAGCTCCTCTGATATTGAGGATGGACCTCTGTGTGAAGAGGAAGCATTGATATGTGGGGTTTAACGTCCCAAAACCACCATATGATTATGAAAGACGCCGTAGTGGAGGGCTCCGGAAATTTAGACCACCTGGGGTTCTTTAACGTGCACCCAAATCTAAGCACACGGGTCTCCTTCATTTCCGCCTCCATCGGAAATGCAGCCGCCACAGCCGGGATTTGAACCCGCGACCTGCGGGTCAGCAGCCGAGTACCTTAGCCACTAGACCACCACGGCGGGGCGAAGAGAAAGCAAGTGGCAACGTCACGCGAGCCCTCCCATCTCTTTTCGTTGCACACTACTGCAACGTTTGGGCATGTTGTTCACAAGAGCGTCGGCTTTGCGCTGAATTCGTTCTTTCGTCGAGAATGGAGGGTGGCTCAATGCCCTTTAAAACGCACAGGCGAGCCGCATGCAGCCCGCGGCCCATATATGACTGTCTTTGTCTCCCATTTAATTTATGAGTTTGTGACCACTCGTAAAATATTTATACGCGTTTGCATTACAATGAACTCTCCATTGAATGAATACCCATTTAACGAACATTTCATACTAAGAAACGTTTTAAAATCCCTGGTGGTTTTCGCATGCATTATTCGCAAAATGTTTGAGTAAAAGAACTTTCTGAATAGCAAATATTTCAGTTGAATGCAACTATCTGCAGACCTGGGCCTATTTTTGAGATGGATTCACTGAAATTTTGCGTTCTTCAGTAGTGGCGCAGCCAATCGACGGCGCCCCCCAATCACCCATCCGTCGGCGGCGCTTCTACATCACTCGTGCATACCGTGCTGCCGTGGCAAAGCTGCCGTGTGGCTGGTGAAAGCACAGCCGCGCTAGACTGCACCTGCGCGCTCGCTTCTTACCATAGAGTTAATATGCTTCTTACGGTTTTCACAACGGGTGTAGTACTTGCCTCTTGCTGCTGCTTTGAGTGGAGTGCCGCTACCCTGATCCTCCTCCGCCACTCCGTGCAGCGCGCGCAACGCCTGCGCATGACTTCGGGCACACTTCTTCACTTTGCATGGGCTAAAAAACAAGTGAAAAACAAGAAAAGATTGTCCTCAAAAATAGTGCACGTGGAGTCAGGAAAAAGTTTTTTGCCGTGTGCTCTGGGCAGGCGATGCAAGGTCATGGTCGCAGCGCCTATACCGCCGACGGCTGGCGAAACATACTCAGAAACTTGGCCATTTCTTTCGTGACGTGTGAGAAGGCCATAAATAAAGAAGCGTGCGCAGGTGTAGTCTAGGCTGGCCGCGGTAAGACTAAGCACGCGTGCTTCAATCGCATGCGCGGAACTATGAGATATAGAATTTTTTTTCGTTGTTTGTCCTGAACGTAAAGAAGCAAAGGGTGACGTACAAGATGTATTTGCTGAGGCATGTTAAAATCCTACATCTATAGCCGAGGCCAAACTATAGTAGAAAGCTCTGATATTGCGTGATACGGCAATGAGCTTAGCCAGATGGAGTGAATTGAAATCCAGACTATCTGGACAACTTTGTCTTCTCTAGCGCCTTATGGGCGACAGTTCAAATGAAACTTACAGAATTGTTTTCAAAACAAATTGCATTTCATACTTTTAAATTGATATCCGCTGTGTTCAATGCAGTTCTATGTTCTAGTGAAAGTTCAGTTTAGTGAACTTCCAGTTAAAGAACGCTGAATCGCAAAGCGACTTTTCGCTTAATGGTAAAGTGCAATTTTAAAATCCCGAAAACACCACCCTTACCATGATGCGACGCTTGACAAGGGAGAAAACACGCGCAAATAAAATGTGGGTGCAGGCGCCACGTTGCGATTCCCTCACTCTACACCATGACACCATGAATTTTAACACCATGACGCCATATATTGTGAAGCAGCCTCCGGGGTCGTACGCAAATTCTAGTCGATAAAAAGGAAGTACATTGTCATCTGTGGGTGTCATAGACCCGAAAATGTTATCCAACCAATAGCACAAAAATAAGAGAAGGGATGTGAAAGTTTTTCACATCACGCACGAATAAATCGTTGAGAACGTTATTAACCAGACATCTCCCTTGGTTCTTTTCCTCTAATATTGAGGTTACTATGATAAAAAATATTGCGTTACGATTCTCAGACTGCAGTTTGCCAATATAAACGAGGGAACTATGCAGGATCGCCCGAGCTTGGCGAAACTCGGGATCTTTCCGAGCTCTATGAAGACCCCCTTTTGAATGAGTCAACAGTGCGAAAAAGTCAATAAACCTCTCGGTGCGCTTCATTTCATTGGTTACAATGAAACCAGCATCGCGTCAAGTATAATCGACGAAGTTTGGCGGTGTTTTCAAAACAGATACGTCTCATTTCATTTGTTTCTTGAGTCACTGAGTGCAGAGCCGCAGCCATGAAATAAAAGTGTCAGAAGATTTTTTTTATGACAGTTTTGGAAAGCACGAGCTGGTTAAATTCATTTTGAAGCTTTAAATGGCTGCACTAAGTCTGCTTTAGAATATTCAGCATGGTGGCCTCCGAGTTTAGTTCTTACCGAGCACCTCACAACATGGTGACCACAGCGAAACCTGAGGCCACCTGTTATCATCGTCAGCCTGTACATTCTAGCGCTCTGCTCGGCCGGTGCGCGCCTCCTTTGTCGTCTTCATCGTTTGCCAGCCCAATCAGCTCTTTGGCTCGGCGGTATACTTCGCGGCCAGGGCATGCTATGAACAAGGTAATAAGGCAAGGTCATGGAAAGAGCGAGGTAATTATGACACATAATATTAAGACCATGGTAATCATGATTGATTATTAGCGAAGTATAACTTTCTAAAACCAACATTTGATTATTAGGGACGCCATAGTGGAGATTTCGACCACCGGGTTTCCTTTAACGTGCTATAATGCAACATCAATCATGAACGCGCACATAAAAACATGCTAACTAGTCCTTACTAATGCGCTGACATTTATTGTCGCGTCTATAACAATTACATTTGATAGTTCTATACTAAAGATGGTTTCGGTAATTGGACCTGCGATAATTATTGTCATTTTAATAGAAATGTTATCAATACAAAACTGTCCAGTGTTCTATTTATTAGGCACTAGGTAATCAGTGTGACCAAAAGTGAAACAGAGCTTGCACTGCCTTCACTTTGAAGCTGACCAAGCAGAAGAGTATATTGTAAGTCAACGTTTTGGCTGCAAGACACCTCTTTTACTTGCCGAGCTTCTGCCCTACAACACAGGTCGGACTGATGATGGTGAGTATGTACATATGGTAAGATGACGCGTATGAATAATGCTCACACTTATTTCTGCCCCAAGCGTGAGCGCCCAGCCCGGACGCGTCTTAGACGGAAACGGAACGTCGAACGAATGGCTTCAGACGTGATACGTGAACAATCTCCGAACCACGACAGCGACGATCCGAAGAAAGGTCGGTGGGAGTGACACGATAGTTCACTAGGGACGTTTGTTCATTGATTGTATAGGGCGGAATGAAGCGTGACTGAAACTTGTCACACAATCCTGGAGTACGAATGGGCGTCCAAAGCAACACTTCATCCCCCGGACTGAAGGAGACGTCGCGATGAGGGCTGTCATAGCGTTGCTTGGGGTCTCTCTGATTGGCTTCTGTATTAAGGCGAGCCCATTGCCGACATTCTTCGAGCCTTGTGATGGACTGCTCTGATACGGTTGCCGAGGCGTTGGTTGGCCCATTTAGGAAAGAGACGTCGATGGTGAATGTCGGTGAACGGCTGTACACCAGGTAGAAAGGTGGGTAGCCAGTAGTTCTTTGAACAGCAGTCTTATGGGCAAACGTCACAAAAGGCAAAATGGTATCCCAGTTGTCGTGGTTTGGTGCGATGTACATCGACAGCATGTCTGTTAGTGTCCGATGAAATCTCTCTGTCAACCCATTAGTTTAGGGGTGGTAGGCTGACGTCGTCTTATGTACTGTACCAGATGTTGGTTGTGAGCAGGGTTTCGATTACGGTGGACAGGAACGTCTTGCCGCCATCACTCAGGAGAACGCGAAGTGCACCGTGACGCACTACGATGGCATTAAGAATGAAGTCTGCGACATCTGAAGCAGAACTTGTGCGTAGTGCAGCAGTCTCTGCGTACCTTCTCAGGTGGTCAACAGCAGTCACAATTCAACAATTACCCGCTAGCGTGATGGGGAGAGGTCCGAGTAGGTTATGCCAGCGATGGCAAAAGGAGTCTCGGAACACGGGATAGGTTGCAAAAGGCCAGCAGGAGACGAAGTTGGTCGCTTCCCCCGTTGACACAGATGGCAAGATGCAACGTACTTGGCCACAAAGGTAGAGATGCCCGGCCAGAAGAAACGGTTTCTGATGCGGCTTTGTGTTTTGTGAAATCCAAAGTGGCCTGCACAGGGGTCGTAGTGAAAGTCTTCGAAGACTTGACGTAGAGAACGCGGAAGTACTGAAACCCAGCGGTGTCCATCTTTAGTGTAAACGTAACGATG